ATGAAACAGGTTCCCACCGCGAGTCTTTTCTGCGTCCATCACACCTACAAAAAGAGCTCGGCATCAGGAAAACGAAAGAACGGAAAACAAAATAAAAGGCAAGCCTCTGAGCAAGGAACCTACCCGAACTCAGGCCGGCCTGGATGAGCTTGGCCTCCGTCAGATAGTGGTGGCATTTTAGCCCAAGCCGGGCCCATTCCCTGAGGCCCTTCGCCGTCTCCCTATCAAGTGTAACACCGGCATCGGGGGCAGCCATCCCCCACCCGGTTTGGAACGGCCACCCCATTGCACTTTGCACCTCGAAATAGTCCTGTTTCAATGCCGGCACCTTGTTGGGAAGATCGTGTAAAAGCTTGAACCCCGGGCGATGTGACAGGTAGTACGCCCGCCTATGCCCGGGAAGGGGACCCGCTTGCTTCTTAAGCATCAGAATGGAAGAAAAGATCTCAAAGTCTAAAGGCAAAATCTGTTTGCAAAAGAGGGAGATAGTCCCCACCAAATTACGGATAGAATTCGGGTGGAGCTGGCCGATGGTGACGCCGAAGTGGTTCATAACCTCGACGATGAGGGGTAGGAAAGGTAGGCGCAACCCAGCGACGAACTGCTCCCAGAATATCACGATCTCATTGGGACCGTGTTCCCAAGGGAAGTCGCCCGAAGGTATAAAGTAAGTGTACTCCCTAGGCAGGTTGAACTGGGTGATAAGGGAGTAAAGCCCCTCAGGCGTCATGGTTGAGGGCCCAAACTTGTCTAACGTCCGACCTCGACAAGAGGAGGACGCCAAACTACCTGAGGCGACTCGGCCTACGGGTTTGAACTCTTCCTCGAGCTCCTCCTCGAGCTCTACCTCGGGTTCACTAAGGCTGTCGGGGGATGCAGCTCGGTTCGTAGAACCTGCATCTGACCCCCTCGAAGAACTGTCTAAGCTAGACATCGGGAGGAAAAGAATACCAAGAAGAAAGTACTGACTCACCCGGAAAAAGCAAACGGACTACGAATGGTTGACGCGAGCTAAAACGTGGACGCGAGCTCAAGAAGCAAATGCAGGAGAATGGCAATGAAAAGCGACTGGGGTCCCCCACTATTTATACCCACAGTGACAAAAAACCGACGGTTCTGATCGAGGCAAATCCAACGGCCCACGATCAAGCTAACCGCATGCCTCCTAAGATCGAGACGTGACTAGCCGCACGTCTTTTGAAACTGAAGCAGCGCCGGCGCACGTCTCCCCGCATTAAAGGCAGCAGCAACGCGTTTTTCAAATTTGAAATAACGCCCGCTGTCACGTCTCCCAGTGGCGCGTTTTTTAAATTTTGAAATAAACACGCGTTGTCACGTCTCCCAGCATTTAAAGACAGATTGGCGCGTTTCCTGACTTTTTGGCACTCGAGAATCCCGGAAATCTCCTAACGAACGCGCACTTCGCGCTATCAGTCAAACCAGTTCGAAGTACGGGTCAAATCCACCCGCCACCTCGCGAACTCCCCGCGCCAGGGCAAGCCCCTTAGCGCGAGGAGTGGGG